CTTTGGTGCATCATTTACATTAAAACGGACGAATATATATATATATATATATATATATGGGAGCTATATCTAACTCTATCACGAAACTTGGCACCCAACACTCCAGGCTCAATTCAGTCTGTGCCCAGTATATTCCATGACATTGTGAAGATGCATTTTACTAACAAAGATCAAACTCGAATAAGTAGTCTAACCAGTAAAAATATCTGAAATGTATGAGTCATTCTTTCAATTTAGAATAACTTCTATTGTTTTAATTCTTTTAAAAATTCATTTGTCATATCTAATAGATCTGTTATATCAAGTTTTTTTCCATGTAATCTTCAACATTTATTCACCTGGTATGATGTTACTGTAACCCAGAAATGAATAACAACTAAGCAGTTAGCATTCCACTTCAAATAACACAATAGTGACGCTTTATATTTTGACAGTGACGCTTTATATTCTCCTCAATGACTCCTAAAATAGATAAAAATTCTAATATTTTATTGTATTTGCTAAATATTTGTTTTCTTTTCTTTATTTCTATAACAATAAAAGAAATAAATTATCAGATACACACCTTATGATATAACAAAAAACCAAATCTAGTTTCAAATTTATGGATAGATAGTATAATATTTATGAATATATTAAACATAAAAATCCAAAATATCCATTGTGACAGAGTTCATGTTTATCTTGGGGTTTTTTTTTTTTTTGGAATTTCTATGTTTGGTACCACAAGGTTTTAATACCACTCTACCTCCGAACAATGTATTAATTTTATTTTTGGAGTTGAAATTATAAAAAAAAAATCATTTTTATGGTCATTACCACCATCAAACAAGTACCTGTCGATGTTTCAGCAGGAAACCGTGTGGAACGTTTAATGAAATTTCTTTTTGTTGTTTTTTTTTCCTCGTTGATATCTTTTGATTGACTAGTTAGCTGGGACTGTGACTAGCTCGGCATTTATGAATATTAAAACTTTTTGTTAATATTTTATTGTTGCAATGCATAAGTGTAGTTGTTGTTGTTATTTTGCTGCTGACCACCACCATACCGGTGTTGGACGCCACTTTTTGTCCAATCTTTTAAACGCTTAATTTTGTTTAAACGCTATTCATCCGCTCAAAAGACCAAACACATACGAATACTTTATTGTGAAGCTATGTGACATGAATTAATTTATAAACAAACGAACAAAAAATACAAATTTAACTGTTTTGTATTTATGAAAATTGTCAACAATCATTACTCTCCAAGTGGGTCATAAGACATACAAGGTAATGCTTTCCTCCATAAAAATACAAAAATTAAAAATACAGTTGAATGTACGAACTTCGTTTGCATGCACTTACTACCACCACCACTACAATGTTGGCTCTAATTAATAATATTTTGGCAGCTCTAAACTGAATATATTAAATTTTAACCGTTATTTGAAAATGTATTCATGAGATATTAGAGATGGTACGTCAATTAACTAAACGGTCATGTATAATATGTATAAAACTTAAAACTGGATTTAGTAAATCCAGTAGATCGAAATTATCAATTCCATTGCATATATGTCAAATAAATCCGCATAGAGGAGGTTAACTCTGTAAAAAGTTCTAATATACATGTCGTTTTACTAGCCTAATGTTGCAGCCGAATTTTTCGATACCAACATCGAACAGGATTGTGAAACCCAGTTACTATAGTTCCGCTTCAGAATATAAAAGAATCTACCTGTTTTACACGTTCTGAAACTTTTTTACTCGAAAACTGTTCCTGAACCCACAAATTTAGTAAAACTATCCAAATTTAAGAGAACGCAAAACAAATGTCGTTCTATTTGTAAACTTTTCACTCGATTGGCTGTTGTGTTGATTTAGAACAATGGTGGGCAAAATTTCTCTTAAAAAATGTTTAAGGGAAAATTTAAACTTGAATTATTCTTATTTAATTTAATATTTTTAAAACAGGAAGCTCAAAAAATAAATTCATTAAAAAAATTGTGGAAAAATTTTCATTAAAGTTTATTTTTGTTTTAACATCAAAAAATGTTAAGAGAACGCATCAACGCTGGTGTGCACGTCTGCCAGCTTCTTATAAGTGTGGTGGTATTGTTTCTAATCTGCCTACTTAGACCTTAGTAGTATCTGTTGTCCAAAATTGTTCTTCTCCGAATTCCAAAACTGATGTCAATAGTTTTATTTATGGCAGTACCAAGGTATATATGTAAGAGTTAGGGACTAAGACCAGAGATCATACACTAGCTGTATGTGACGGTTGTACTCCCTATTCTTACATGTGGATGCCTTGTATGGTGACAAGGGGTCAACAAGAAAATACTGCTGACTAAAATGAATACAGCGATCGGCTTCGATCCTGATAACCGGAGCGCTAAGAAGCACACCACAAGCAGCCTTGAATGTAATCTTGATACTCCAACCATTGGACTCTCTGATTTTGAAGACGAGTACTCACATTAGTGACTATGTTCTCCCTTATAGAGACTTCAATGACATCAGAGTAGAGTTTACTAGGGAATCCTGGACTGGTGGCAGATGGGTCAAAGATTGAGGAAGGCACTGGTGCAGGTGCGTTTACAACAGGGAACTAGATATCTATAACTCACCGTTTTTCGTCTGAGATAGTCAAAAATCTTACTGCCGATAACATACGACCGGTGACTATATATGTCGATAGTCAGGCGGCCCTCAGGGATTTAAACTTGTGCACTATTAATTCAAAAGCGGCTCGTGACTGCAAGGCTGCTCTTCATAGGAATGTGGATATAAGCGAATGAGATTGACGACGAGTTTGCTCGAGAGGGCACAGTCGTCCTATTTTTCGATTACCACCCATTGGCTATTTTATTGGCAGAATCCGTTTGATCTACTTCGAAGTAGTAGGTAACAGATGGTCAAGCGAACCTGGTTGCAGGATTTCGAAAACTATCTGGTCAGAATTCTCTATCCGTAGAACTTCTTTGCTGTTGTTCCATAATACGAGGTAGAGAGATAAAATCATTGCGGGTATCATAACAGGTCACTTCAGGATTAGATCTCTCACTTAAAAATGGTACATCAACAATTGAACATGTCCTCTGTAGGTGTCCATCGCTGAGTGGCAAAAGACTCTGACAGTTTGGCAAACATGAAATTGATAACCTACCATTAATCTCCAAAATAGTACCCAAGCAGGTCCTAAGCTTCGTTAAGATTTTGACATGGCTAAAATAGCCACTTTTTTAAACTCTCCAACTCCAACTATCTTTTCTCTCTCTCTCTCTCTCTCTGAGTGTCTCTGAGTATACTAATTAGTTGCTAATTAGGAAACGTACATCCCTAATCTTAGGTATAAAAAATCTTTGACTCGAATCTGTGGTTCTCAAGTTTAAAGTCGTTGAATAGGTGGAATGTGTCGATGTGTTTTTCCTGGGTCTTTTACAGGATTTGGCGCAGTTTGAAAATCTATATGGTGGATTTTCCAGGCCTGAAGCCGCATTGATATGAGCCAATAATGTCATTGACCATCGGCTTCAGTCGTTTACACAGCACACCGGATTGCACTTTATATACGATGGGAAGCAGACTAATTCCTCTACAGTTAGCACACATTGTCTTGTCTCTTTTTGTTGTGCACGGGATACTGGAGGTTCCAATCATTATTCATGCATTCCCCTAGCCAAATTGTACTAATCAGCTGGTGCATGCTTCTGACCAGCATCTGACCACCAGTCTTGAATACCTCGGCTTGTAATCCATCGGATGCTTTATTATTCTTCAGTCGGTTGATTATTATTCTGGCCTGATCTTTGCTAGGTGGTATACACTCTATACCGTCATCTCTTATTGGTTCACGGCTTCTGATACCAGAAGCTTTGCAAAATGCTAATTCCATATCCTTAACACGTTGTCTGTACCTATCACCAGGTTTCGTTCTTCATCTCTACAGAAGGATGTGCCTGCACCAAAACCTTCGGTTTGGTGTTTTACTCGTTCGTAAAAGTTCCGGACTTCTTTCTGACTCCTGTACATCTCAATTTGCTCACGCTTTTCTTCTTATTTCTTTTTTTTTTTTTTGAAAATAAGTTTCTTCTCTCTCCTTTCTCCCGATAATTCTCTCTCGCATTATTTTGAAATATTGCCATATAATTTTGATATTTTTACTATTTTTCCGTTTCAGAATTGTTCGTATTATTTTGTACTCTGACATTTTTCTCTTTTACTAGCTTTACTATTAAATACGTACTGGAACAACTGAATTATTTTTGTCATTATATTTGGAACTCCTCGAAGTATTCATCGATAACTCCATTAATTACACTATGCAACTAAATGGAGCTTATGTAAAACTCACACGTCATCCAGTCTCCAGTTAGGATCAAAATGGTTCCATTCGATTAAGAATCCTAGAGTATATAATCCCTGTGAATTTTTCCTAACTTATACAAGATGACAGTCATATTAAAGATATTGGAAAATTTGTAAAGAGACCACATAATTTTAAAGACCTTCACACTTCTTTAAAATCGCTTCCACTGAATTTCGGTAATCAAAGAAAAATATACAGGAGCATGTCGGTTTCTGGTTTTGTATGTCGCGCGATGTTGATGTTATCAATTTGTCGGTAGTAATTTGGTCTTCTGTATTACAACGTATCAGAAGAAAGTTATGACTCATTCTTATCTTGAACAGAAGAGCATTATGGATACTTTGTTACTGTACGCTTGGGCGCCATTCATGTAAATACATAACCTCTATTATATCAGACATATTGAAATCCCAAATTTCTAATATCAGTATCTACAGTATCTGTTTTACATTAGGTATGTTATTGGATAAAAGCTAATGTTGTCATATATGATATGTTGAATAACTTCCTTGTACTCTCAGACAGGGTTTCATTTCGGAATCTATAAAAAACACAGTTTTTCAGCTTCTTTTTAGGTCCTCAACTATGAATAATCTTAGTACTTATCTAATTCAAAATTATAATCTCGATTTTTTTCTCTATTTCAGACTCTGCTCTTTGGATAAAGTGGAAACTCTACTCGGTGATGCTGTCCAGCTGGTGCGCATCAAGGACCCACTAACATGCAATGCCTTTGCAAACAGCAACGATTATGAAGGAGATTGGTCAGGTCTATCGGCGACATGGGAACGTGTTTCAGTACAGGAACGTGATCGATTATTTGGTCAATTGGATGTTGGAGAATTTTGGATGTCCTTCTTGGATTTTACACAAACATTTTCCAGTTTAGAAGTCATATATTTAGATGCCGACACGGCGAAAGATGAATTATCGTTACAGGATAAACCAAAACGTTGGCAAATGAAAATGTTTCAGGGCCAGTGGAAGCGTGGTGTCACCGCTGGTGGTTGTCGTAATCATGAATCGTTTCACATAAATCCCCAGTTGCTGCTGAACATACCCGAGAAACAGGAAATTGTTGTGGCCTTAAATCAACACACTGCCGTCGAACCAAAAGTCATCGGTTTTACAATGTATAAAATGAGTGGAATTGCCGGTTCGAAGGTTAATCAAAAAATCACCGAAAGTTTACCCAAAGATTTTTTCAAAACTCATGTCAGTTTCTTGAATTCCGATTATGGCAATACAAGACATGTCACCTGCAAGTGTCAATTGGAAGTGGGCCAGTATGTCCTCATGCCAACGACTTACGAACCCGGGGAGGAATCTAGTTTTACGGTGCATATTTTGGGTACACTGCCACTGCGTTTGTCACTTTTGGAGACACAGACACTGATGTTATTGGATCCATTCCCGGTGCTTAAGAACGAGGCGGATTCGCTGAAAATCAAAAATGTCTGTCAATATGAACCAATTTTCATGCAATTGGCCGATGAAAATAAAACCATCAATTGTTTTGAACTACACGAGCTGCTGGATGCCTGTCTGCCGAATGACTATATCAAAGGTTGTGCAAATGTAGATATTTGCCGGCAAGTAATTGCTCTGCAGGACAAAACAGGAACTGGTCGCATTAACTTTTTACAATTCAAAACATTTATGGTCAATCTGAAGACATGGCAGGGCGTTTTTAAGATGTACACCAAAGAAAAGGCTGGCATTCTGCGTGCTGAACGTCTCCGTGATGCGCTCTATGATGTGGGCTTCCAACTGAGCACCGATATTATGAATTGTATTATGCAACGTTTCATACGCAAAGATGGAACGCTGCGTCTCAGTGATTTCGCCTCGGCGGTATTACATTTGACGGCTGCCTTTGATTATTTCCAGCGTAAGGATCACAATCAGGATAATGTCATCGAAATTGAAATGTCCGATTGGATAAAATGTGTATTGCGTTGTTAACAGTGCGAGAGAGAGAGAAATGAAGAAGTAGTTGGATCTCCACAACCACCACCAGCAATTGTATTCTTCATCAAATTGCAACATTTTTGAGAGAAGAGATTATTAGTTAAATTGGAAAATGAAAAAAGAGAGCTAAGATCTTTGAAGAAATTAATAAAAAAAATAAATTAACAAAACCAGTTATAGTCTAATTTATATTAGTTGTAGTTTTTCTAATTATTACTGTATGTATATTTTAAGTTTTTAAAAATCTATTTCATTTAATTTTTCTATATGTTTTTATGTTATTATTTCGTCTACACTTTATTACCTTGTGTGCTATATTTAGAAATTAGTTTAATCTAGATATACAAAATAAAAAAATCATGACTTTACAAAATACATATTTACAAAAACCAGTGCTAAGTCCCCAATGTTGTCCTCTTTTTTAATAAAAATTATACAAACAATAAAAATTATATTTTTTTTTAATAGAAAATGTTGTTTATTTAATAAAAATGTGTTAAACGCTGTCTTGCCGCTCTTTGTAATGAGTTTTGAAGTCTCTCAAATACTGGAAACTAGCAGAGCATATTTAGGGTATATACTAAAAATTTGCATACGAGACTGAAGATTGAATTGTCCCCTTCTTCTTTACATCAGGCTGATGTTCCTCAATCGATATTAACTTTTCACAGCCACAGTCTGTAAGAAGGGTTTGATTTCTTCAGGATCAGCTACCACTTATGGCAGGCTTCCCGCCTTCATACTCGTAATGGATTTGATTGAGGTTGACTTTGGGTGCGAAATTGGTAGGGGTTACCCACGACTGTATGCGAGGTTGGAATTCTATCGACAAGGGGTTCTGTTGAGTCCGTGTTTGGATAGGTTCTTTCATACTCCCTTTATTCCTTATGATGCTTTATAATTCGCACAATTTTGTTCGCACTTTTCGTTGTGGGAGACGGCAGTGAGTTTTTTTTTTCGTGTTTACTTTTCCGCAGAAGCTCTCGGCACCAAAATAACCCAATATATTTATTCACATTGCACTATAGCAGGGATGCTTAACCATACACGCTACCGTAACTGGCCGTCGATGGTTAAACACGCATTCTCATTTCTCTCTTTCGTCAGTCATTTTTAATGATAAATTCTCAATTACGCTCACCCACACTTATGGTCAATTTGGTTATGCCCACCACTGCGCTATAGTGAAAACCATCAAAAGCTCTTGGCATAAATCTAGCTGCAGCCGCTAGACTCATACCTGCTGGTCGAACACCCGAGATGAGACCTATGTTCTCAGCAGTGGGTCTAGCAAATGCATGTTGAGCTCCGTCGATCTAGCCCAACAGATCCCAAGATCAGATAACTTACGTTGGAGTTCTGCAGATTAGTCGCGGGGCAAAAGCGGAATAAATGTTTGGAACACCTGGAGAGTTGCAACATCGGCACCGGTGTAAGTAAACTGTGGGCAACGGTTAAATCGCTCTCGAACCCTGGTAAGGAGGATGATGGGACCTTAGTGACATTTAACGATGAAACTGTGACTGATCCGAAGAGATGCGCCAGGCGAAGCGAAGAGTACTACGTCTACGTCTATATCTTCCCGCCCAGAAAGTACCGCAACAGTTTACGTGTGTCATCCGTAATACTAAGTCATCTAAAGCGTTGGGCCCTGACGGATATATATATATATGTATATGCTGAAAGAGTTGGACGAGCCAGGAGTTGTAGTACCTGACCAAAGTCTTCAATTTGTCGATATCCAACCACGTTGTTCCCGAAGCCTGAATAATGGTCCTGGCACTGAAACCAGGCAAGGATGGTGGCAAAGGCATTACTTCCTCTCCAGCATTAGGGAAAGCTATCCAGTTGATAATCATCAACATGGGTTAAGTAAGCAACAACAGCGTCTCACGCCATCTCAACACATATATAAGTCGAGGACTTAACCAGAACTGGCCGTGTCATAGAACAGTGCTGGTAGCGCATGACCTATCGAAAGCCTTTGATACAGTCAAAATGCCAAACTGTTTGAGGGCATTGAGAACACTTCCCTCCCTAATCAATGATATCCTCACGAAGTGTTGTCAGCCACATTATTCACCACATGGACTGTGGAGCTGAGAATGCCATTGTGCATGTACAGATCGAGGGGCACACCAAAATACTCGGTGTCACATTCGACAGCATGTTCAAATCGTCCGCGAAAACCACAGCTATCTGCGATAAGTTGTCAATTCGAAAACCTTGTTGACCTGTTATAAAGCAATAGGGTTGTCTGTGAGAAGCTATGCGGTGACAGTGCGTCCTGCGAATACTAGTGTTACGTAATGAAGAAGCATTCAGACTGGTCAGAACGCCACCATGAGAACTTTGACAATGTGCCTCCTCATGACACCAGTTGACCATCTTAATGAGGAGACGAAGATCTTTCCCTTATGTCAGCATAGCAATATGCATTATTTGCAGTAAATGGTCGGGTACTTCAGGACAATCATCCTAACCATCATATGGTGGATAAGACTTACCCTAACCAGGCGTGTCAGGAAGGATCCGTATGTTGTGGAGAGAGAAATCCAACGTTATAAAAGGAAGCCTCTAGATCAAGTTGCCTATCGAGCAAGTCAGTAGACTCAATTCGTATTGGGCACGAATTGATGACCAGGTGCAGAAAACTTCTATAACAACAACAAAGCTCTTGGCCAATATTTTATTTTAATACTCATGTTAAAAAAAAAAATTTTATGCAGAAACAAAATTCGGAAATTCACGATTACTTGGTAGCGAAGCACAAAACTATCAGTTGTTCTATCGATCACCATCAGGACTTCCCATCTCTATCGCGTATATCTAAAAAATGAATTCCACCGACGGTCAATAGATCGTCGATAATCCTGCACTAACCAAAATTTGCTGAGGATAATTTCGGTTAGTGAAATTTTCACAATCAGAGAACGCTCAGGAAGCTGCCAATCTTTTACAACAACAACTGACTTGGGTATGAATCTGGTGAGGAAATTTTAAGTTTGCGTCATCTACAGTATCATTTCAGCCTATGAACGAGTTCGATATAATTTAACTAATCTATATATCTATATCCTATAACATATAGTTAACCTACTAATGCAAAACAAATGGTTATGCAGATACGGTTACAAACTGACTAATGGACTCTATATAGGGGAGAGGGGGGCACCTTTGAACACTTTTTGCTTTCAAGCCTTATAAATTTTTTTTATTTTATCATTTTTGGTTTCTTATAAATTTTAACTAATAGGTACATATGTAACCTTTAAAATGAATATACATATGACATACTATAAGCTTGATAAATATATTTTATTACTGTTTTAATGGACGAACTCAAAGTGTTCAAAACTGCCCCCCCTTTGAGCACCTTTGAACAAGGGTTGGCATTTTCGAACGACATGGTTTTTTTACAGTGTTTATGTTCAAATATGTATGTATTTTATTCATACATATCAGAAATGCATTAATTCATTAAAAATATATAAAAAAATGTTCAAAATTTAAAAAAATTAGATCAAAAGTTATTAAAACATAAAATGACTGAAAAATACAAATTAATATGGTGAAAAATACAGTTAATTTCGTAATCTTATTAGCCCATTTGAAATTTTGAGAAATCGAAGACAAAAGTTAAAAACTCCTGTTTTTACTCGAGTGTAATGGGCATGTTCAAAGGTGCCCCACCCATGGCATTTTACGGAAATTTAAAATAACTTTTTTTGTAATAAATATATTGTTGAACACTTTGATTTTGTAGGTTTTTCACTCAATTAAATATTAATTTTAAATAGGAGCATGCGTTGTAAATTATTTTTTTTAATATAGTCAATGTAATGAAAATTTATATTCATTCGAAATAAAACTTTCAATTCATAACCATCAAATAAAAATAATAAAATCAAGAGGTTATGGGCGACCAAAGAAAGGAAGTTCCTCATGGAATAGTTCAATTTAATGGAACAAATTATGAAAACTGGAGTTTTCGTGTAAAAATGTATTTGGATGCGGTTAATGTGTTGGAAGTAATTGAATCAGCCCTGGAAGACGATGCTTCAAATGAGAAAAAAATTAAGTATCGTGAGATGGATACGAAAGCTAAATGCATTATAGTCAGTTGTATTCATGATGACTATTTGGACTATGTAAGAGATAAATCTTCTGCAATTCAAATGTGGAATGCTTTAAAGAACGTTTTTACGGTGAGATCATCTACAAATCAGACAATATTGAGGAAACAGCTTGCAAAATTGAAATTATCAGGAGATACAAAAATGATGGATCATTTTTTAGAATTTGATGGACTTGTACGCCAATTAAAGTCAGCTGGAGCAAAATTAGACGAGCGCGACTTGGTGTCGCAACTGTTTGTAAGTCTGCCTGAAAGTTATGACCCTCTAATAACAGCTTTGGAAAATATAAAAGAAGATGAATTGACATTATCAGTGGTAAAACAACGTTTACTAGCTGAAGAGGCAAAAAGGGGTGATAGAATTGAGGACCATGGTGTTGGAAAATCAGGAACTGTTTTTGTTGCTCGCAAGAATAATAAATTCAAATTCAATGGAAAATGCCATAACTGCGGAAAAATGGGACATATGAAAATGAATTGCAGGTTTAGAAAAGAAGCAAATTTCTCAACGAACCACCGAGAATCCACGGTTCTTTATTCTGATAATGAAAGTGATGATGAATTTGTGTGTTTTATGGTAAATGCAAATATGAGGGAGGAAACCAACATGAGCTTTATTTTGGATTCAGGATCAAGCGACCATATTTCAAATAATCGGAGTTTGTTTCATGATCTGAGAACGATGAAGATGCCTTTAACAATAAGTATTGCCAAAGATGGGGAACTGCTGACTGCAAATGAAATGGGTGATATACATGGACACGTATCTACTGGTCAACGTATTATTCTTAAAAATGTTCTTTATGTACCAAATTTGAGAGAAAATTTAATATCTGTTAGCAAGATGTCAAAAGCAGGGTTAGAGGTAGTTTTCAAGAAAAATACTGCAATAATTTTAAACAAAGGTAAAGAATTAGCCATAGCTGAACCAAGAGGTAATGTTTTTGAACTTAAATTTATTAAATGTATAAACTGTTCATATTTGTGTTCAAACGATGAGGGAAGGCTTTGGCATTGTAGATTGGGCCATATAAATCAAAAGGACCTTGAGTCAATGAATCGAAGGGAAATGGTGACGGGTATGGGAAATGTAAAATGTTTCGGCTTGTGTGACATATGTTTGAAGGGGAAGCAGTGTCGGGAACCCTTCAAGGGTGTGCATATCCATAGTTCTCGTGTCTAGGAAAGAATTCACAGCGATGTATGTGGGCCTATATCTCCAAAAACTCATGATGGTTACAAATATTATGTTTCATTCATTGATGATTTCACCCATTTTGGAGTTATCTATTTGATGAAAAGCAAGTCAGAAGTATTCGACAAATTTAAACAATACGAAGCTTTTGCAAGTGCAAAATTTTTAACAAAAATATCCATTTTACGTTGCGATCAGGGCACAGAGTATCGTTCAAAAGAACAATTGCAGTACTATAAAATGAAAGGAATACAACTTGAGGAAACTATTACATATACTCCGCAACAAAATGGTGTAGCTGAACGGTTCAACAGAACCTTAGTTGAAAAGGTTCGAACAATGTTGATAGGATCAAATTCTCCAAAAGAAATGTGGGGAGAAGCTGCTTTGACTGCCGTATATTTGTTAAATCGGACTCCAACTAGGAGTGTTAATAATGAAATTACGCCAGCGGAACTGTGGTATGGAAACAAACCAGATATAAAGAAATTAAGAATTTTTGGATGTAAAGCCCATGTTTGGATACCGGACCAAAAGAGGAAGAAGTTAGATCCAAAGAGCATGGAGGGAGTTATGATTGGATACACAAGCAATGGCTATAAAATTTGGAATATGACAACCAGAAAAGTAGTGACAGCACGTGATGTTAAGTTCGATGAAACAACATTTCCGTTTCAAAGGGAGATATTAAAATGTCAAAATAATATTGTTCCAATATGCAGCAATGAACAAGAGAGGGATGAAGAAAATGTCATAACTGCAAATATGGATGATTCAAGAACCGGCGGAAATATTACGGATATAAATGTGGAAAATACGAATGATGGTGGACTTAACAAAGATAACGTACAACTACAAACTACTAGCGATGATAGCCAAGATATGTTGAACACACAGGAAGATGATCCAACAACTTTAAGGAGAAGTGCTCGGGGTCTTATACCAAAAGTTTTCAAAGAGTACTTTACAGGCTACAATGCAGACATTGTTGACAATGTAATCAGTGAAAATCCAGAAACCTATGCTGATGTTTTAACAAGAAAAGACAAAAATGAATGGCTTAAAGCAATAGAGGAGGAAGTAAAATCAATGGACTACAACAATGTTTGGACCATAGTTGAAAAACCTGAAAATGTAAAACCTTTGAAGTCAAAGTGGGTATTTCGCATTAAGAAGGATGAATATGGAAATGTTTCAAGATACAAGGCGAGATTGGTGGCTAAAGGATATTTACAAAAACATGGCATAGATTATGAAGAAACCTTTGCACCAGTAGCTAAACTTACAACAATGAGAATAATCTTAGCAGTTGGAGTTCAACGCGGATATTTTTTTTCACCAAATGGATGTCAAAACTGCATTCCTACATGGGGAATTGAAGGAACAAATATTCATGGAAGCGCCTGAGGGAATTGTCCTTGACAACAAAAAGATTTTCCGGATTAATAAGTCTATATATGGTTTAAAACAAAGTCCACGTTGCTGGAATGAAAAAATTAATGATTTCTTTTTAAAAATTGGATTTGTAAGATCGAAGCGAGATTACTGTCTTTACGTCAAATATACAAATTCTACTACAACATACATACTGCTATATGTTGATGACTTATTAATCGCATGTAGCGACAAAAATGAGATTGATATTTTGAAAAATTACCTATGCAAGGAATTTAGCATGTCAGATATTGGAAATCTGAAATATTTTTTGGGAATTAAAATAGACTACAATAAAAATGATGGAGTTATGAAATTATCACAGGAAAGCAATATATCCAGAATCTTAGAAAAGTTTCAAATGATTGACTGTAATCCGGTTGCAACACCAATGGAAAAATTGGGCGAATTATCAAATTCAGAGCCAACAAAACAACCATACAGACAACTTTTGGGAAGCCTTATGTATATTATGTTGTGTACAAGACCTGATATTTGCTTCCACATTGGATATATGGCGCGTTTTCAAGAAACTCCAACAGAAACGCATTGGAAGATGTTAAAGAGAATTTTAAGATATATTAAGGGTACAAAGCAATTGAAATTGGTTATAAAACGAAATGAAAGTTGTGAATCATTAATCGGATATGCAGATGCTGATTGGGCTTCCGATCTTATTGACAGAAAATCAGTAAGTGGGTTCGTCTTCCAAATTTATGGAAGTACAATTTCATGGTCAAGCAAAAAGCAAGCTACAGTGGCTACTTCTTCTTCTGAAGCAGAGTATATAGCGTTAAGTGCAGCCACATCAGAGGCAATATGGATAAAAGGAATCCTAGAGGATATGCATATTGTTGAAAATACATATACTGTACCTCTGTATGAGGACAACCAAGGGTGCATATTTATGGCAAAGAACTCAGAATGTAAAAGATCGAAACATATCGACATCAGGCACCATTTCATTCGAGATCATTTGGCTCAAGGAACTATTGATGTTAGATATATAAAAACAACTGATCAAATTGCTGACATTTGTACCAAAATATTAGGAAGTATAAATTTTCAAATGTTTAGATCTAAATTAAATTTGATAGAGTGAGAGAGGGTGTTGAACACTTTGATTTTGTAGGTTTTTCACTCAATTAAATATTAATTTTAAATAGGGGCATGCGTTGTAAATTATTTTTTTTAATATAGTCAATGTAATGAAAATTTATATTCATTCGAAATAAAACTTTCAATTCATAACCATCAAATAAAAATAATAAAATCAAGATATATATATGAAAGAAATTACATTAGTTATGTTTGAAATGATTGTTGGAATGTAAAAGATTTGTTTGACGAAAGAAAACTATCACAGAATTCTTCCTGCGCCCTTACAACCAAATGAATAAAAGTTTACAATGACACTGAGAAAACATGGTCACCCATGAACAATTTTTCGACAACTGAAAAAGCAAGCCAAAGTGGTTTACGCATATAGAGAACAAGATTGCCATATACAAAAAAGTGGTTGCGGGTCGGAAAAATATTACACCAAGATTTTATGAGCGCTGTTCAAAGGTGCCCCACGTTCAAAGGTGCCCCCCTCTCCCCTACAATTCCCTTCTATAGCGAGGGTTATCCAAAAAGAAATAAGATATTTTCCATTAAATGTGTTTTTTTTTTATTTTTGTACTATAATTAAATTAAATATAAACTAATTAAGAATATTTTTCTATACACAGTAAATACATTAATACACTCACTCGCTCCGGCTCTCAGTGACAACCACATTCCTTTGCCACACTCTGCGGGTATTTACTCAAATTTACACTATCCTCGTTTAAATAATGCAATATTGATATCGAACCCAATACAGTTGGTACACAGCATGGTTTGGGTAAATTCGGTTGTTTTAAATGCATCAACGTCTGCACTATGGCATGATTTGTAGCATTCATCTTGGAACCCAATGGGAAATTACATTCACCACCACAAAAGAAAGCTTCAAATTTCTTTGGCGCTATAACCCAATCGTGCATATGTAAATCATTAAAATCCAACGTGAAATTTAAACGTTCACATGATGTGGGTAGCTTATAGATTTCCTGGACAGGTGGTGGTGGTGGTCGCCTGTAGTAATCGGCAGCTTTACGTTTACGCTTGATAACTTCACGTTTGAAGCGTAATTTTTGGATTTTGGTCATCAGTTCGGGTCCATTGAAGTAGCCAATAATGAAGGGTTGTAAATCGATCATATCATCGGTAGCATTTGGCTGTACCAAACCCAAATCACTTGGCAATATTTCTATCGATTTTGATTCATGTGCGGGATTTTCCATTTCCAAAGTAACACCTACGAGTAATTCATTCAGACGTCCAACTTGTAATGATTTATGTTGCAGCCAACGGGATAAGATGCGTGTCATATTGAATTCCAACCAGCCTTTATGTGTTGTGGTGGTATTCACGGAAGCCAGTATTCTCAGGGCTCCTGTATATTGTTTTCGTACCATAACACGTTGATAAATTGAAATTATAGCTCTTTGGACATCGGTATTTTGTACAAATTTCCCCAGACTAGGTTGTTGATACATGCGCAGGGCTGAATGTGCTAACTGTAAATCACGCGGTACATCATTGGCATTGAAACCAATTTGCATATCCGTAGCAATAGGTAAATCGGCAACGAGATTTGAATTTTTTAACATTTCTGCAAGGAAAAAAAATAAATTAAAATTTATGTTTAAATAAATTTTAAAAAATACAGATTTTGGTACTTACGTTTACTTGAAAATGTTATTATATTATTGCACTTTTCAATTTCCATTCGATCGTATTTGGTTATGAATTTTTCCTCTCTTAATGCTCTTCTCTGGCGACCACGTGTTAGATGCTCTCGAACGTGATCCAACTCCTGTTCATTTTCCGTTATATCATTGTAAACCTCCAATAGAAATTTGGATGCAGAATTCTTTAACGATATCTTGGGTTGACCATGATCTTCTGGTCCCAAACCCAATATATCGACAATTTCAATTTCATAACCTGTCAATTCTTCTGGTTCTCTTTGTAATGGCAATCGATCCATTGTTTCCATAGTATAATCAATTTTCACATCCTGTGCCATTGATGTACGCCGATGTATTATTAGTATAAATAACAAAATATTTATTAATTTCAACATGTTTCCTTTAAGGTCCGCCTTGATGTTGTCACTTTGCCAAATATATTCCAATTGTCGAACTAATCACTAGTGTTTTCCATTTTATACATGGATTTTCCTTGTATCCGTCTACCTGGCGCCTCATCGCACAAGGTGACAATTCTTATCTGATTTACCATTGTCCATTATTGTTTTATTATCTCATTACCTGCGGTGATTTGTTCTTGAAAAAGGATTTATGACAGTTATGCAGGATTGCAAAATGTTTAACGGGTTTGAACAAAGTTTACGACTCGAATTTTCTTAGAATTGTCCTATTTGAATTTATTACGAAAGAAGCACGTGTTCAAAGGAGTGTATTTTATTTTCATAAGGGTGTCGGTTGTCTGATCGTACCCTTTATCTTATCTATTTTAGTTATGACACAGTTATATAGTTAAACAAGGACAACACATGAAAGTACGTTTTTTGCACAAAATATAAAGATTTAAAAAAGGGAAGTCGGCATCGAACTACATATTAGGTTTCTTCCTTTTGAGAATAAGCATAGAATGACTTTCTGAGTCATGCATGTCCGTCCTTCTGTTGATCTTAAATTGCTCATTTATTTGGCCCAAGGACGAACACTTTTGAAATAGGTGAACATCGGCTTAGATTTAGATATGGCTCTCATATATATTTTCGTCCGATTTTATGTGTCCTCCAAAAAAAAAAATATATATAAATATATATATATAATTTGTTTTTGGATTAGAATTTGTTATGGATTTGACCGGCAAAAGTATTGCAGATAAAGATATTGATGTGATTGCAATATTCTTCTTAAAAAATGAATGGGTTTACGACTGATAACTGTTCAGTTATGATTAAAATTACAAACATTAAATTAATTTATCAGTTACAATCTTTTTAACCGGATATGTTTGTCAGATACTCAATTTGGCGTACTCTGTGCTATCTCCTATGGTAGGCAAATTGATGACATCCATAGTCGAGATGATTACTTCAATAATTTCAAGAGCACTTTGGAACTGAAATTGATGTTAGTTTGGGGAATATTAGCTTCAGAGAAAGAGCTAGTGAAATTAAAATTAATATACATATTCAAATGCAATCGAAAGAAGCAAGAATTCTCATATTATTACCATCAGAAAGATAGACTAAGTGATATCTTGAAAATCGATCTTTATGAAACTGAATAAACTGTTTTTATTTTCTTGAAAAAAGTACTCTTTTGGTACCTTTTCACATTTTTCATCCCTGGCACTAATGGGTGTCTGATTTGGTGAAAAATGTCGAACGGGTTAGTCGAATTTTAGGTAACACTGTGAAATTAAATTTTTATCAGTGCTCGAACCCGATTTACATAAATTTCTTGATTTACATAAATTTGGAAAACTATAGTATGTACTATTTTTCACTTCCACCTCCTATTACGTACATGCCAACAATGACCAATTTTTATAGTTTTTGTTCTATGAATTAACCCAATAGCAAAAGTACTAAATTCAGCAGCAGCAATTATTATTAAAGTTGTACGCACCTTTAGTAAAAGTGTTCTAATATAAACCCTGAATTAATAACATGAACATAGCTGAATTCCGCTGCGATGATATAGATGTTATCATCACATCCTTACATTCAATAAACAGAAACCACCAAGCTGGGTGGCTTTGAATCCTATGAATTTACAATTTTGATTTAAATTTTGGAATCTAGGAAATAGTTACCAAATATTAGTGATATCAATACAAACATATCCTTTATAGCAAGGACAGCAGCAGAGAATTTGTAGAATGGTATTGGTCATCCATTGTGTTAACCAATTGCTCCGAGTAATATCCGGTAGTATTTATAATCACCGTTCTTCGCGATTTGGACCAATTAATTATCCTCATTTGGTTGTTATTGAAATGTACCCTCCAGATTCTGTTAAACGTAATAGTTATAGTTTTTTCGGATTACATGCACTTTCAAACGTTTCGGAGTGGTATTCTTAAAGATATTTAATAAAATGTGGGGTTTATTTTGGAACTTTGAAGCCCCACATCTCGGGAAGTAATGTTTTCCCCCGAAAAAATGTATGTAGTTGTAATCAGCATCAGATGGGCTACCTATGGTAAAAATCTGAGAGGTGTCCGTATAGTGCATTTGATCCTTATTTTCTCCTTTTTGAAAAATACACCCTAAAAATAACACAAATACATTTAAATATATATTCCTTTATTCTCTTAATAATTACATGATTAATAATAACCAAACATTTATTAATTCAATTTTTTATAACTAAAAACATTTGGAATAACTACTTTAGTAAGACACCAATGTAAATTCTTCCCTTTAACCCGATTCACGAATCTCTGAACATTCAATGTTCTTCACTAGTGCGTAGTGCAGCAACTTCTCTGCGTATTTGTGTTATAACTTCTGCCAAGGCCTGTGGATGGACACCAGCCTCAATTAGTTTGATGCATGTATCCAGACTTTCAGCATTCAATCCCGTATTCAACAATTGCGATATTGCATGGATATTATTACGTATTACTTGTGATTGTTGAAGTTTCAAATAGTTACTGCCATTGACTTTGCCTCCATCCAAGCAATCACTGGAACCAGTTGGTTTATTCGACATAGTAATTTTTTTTTTTTATTTATGAATTGATTAAATATATGCGATTCGAAAATTGTTTACAAATTTTGCAAACCGACCGAATTTAAAAACGTTCCACACGTTATGAAAGGAGAAAGGCTGATAAAAATCGAACTTGAAACAAAATGTCCGAGAAATTTATTGTTTACGAATGAGTGTGATGCGTACGCTGTTTCGGATTCCATAAAATGTACGACCGGGACTATTTCTAGTTGTTCTTTTCTAGTTCCTTTTAATATTCATGCTCATAAAAAAATTTAAGGAAAATGCCTTAAGGTAGGCTTGTTATGTCAAGGAGGGTTTATTAGCCAATTTTTAAAAAGTGTAATACGGCGTTTACATTTAACTGGATTTCGTTAACCCATTGGGTTTAAATTATCAATTCCATTGTATTTATGTCAAATAAATCTTCATAGTGTAGGTTAATCCGGTAAATATTTATAATGTAAACGCCGTATAAGAAATGAATACACTTAAAATAATAATTTACCCTATGCAACAATTAATAGATAAGAAGGTAATACAGTCTTAAAATACTCCTCTTCAGTTGTACCCATGGTACAATTATACAAGGTAGGGTAGCTTTTGTTAGAAAGGATAAAATACACCTGTACCTTATGAGCAATAATGTCTGTATAAATGAAAACAAATACAACAAATCATTCTGTTCATTTGACATATTTTTAAAATTTTATCAAAAACGCGAAAAATGAATTGAATGCCAGGTGTTCTTTTGGCGTAACAAGCCACAGTATGAAAAATTTTAATTTATAGGTTGCTATGGCCTACCTCCATTCCATTATCCAAAATAATATATATTTGGTTAAAATATTACATTGTGCGAAGTTTGGTTGAAATCGAATAGCCGCATGATGAATATCGAATATAACAGAAGCAGTTGACTGAGATTGCCCATCTCCAAACTTTATTTAAGTTTGGAAGAAATATTACGATGTGTAATGTTTGGATGAAATCGGTTACTTCTTTCAAGAGCTATTGTATGCACAGACGACATTTACAAATCGACTCCAAATCCGCAGCAAAATGTATATCTCCTATACGCATCTATTATATTCTTCTTCGTACTATGCCAATTTTTACTTTTCACTATTTTTTCGATATAATTATACAAGGTAGTCTCATGCAGACATATGTCTCTATTTTTTTTATAAATTTGCCTTTGACAGTATACAGCTTTCAAAATTTAAATATAAATATCTTCCTTCGAAATGTATGCATTCGTGTGTTCAGTGGCAAACATTGCTAAATCAGTTATATTTTTTTAAATATAAGTTGTAACAACCATGGTTAAATCTTGGAACAATGTTCAGCTTTAGAAAATATATTTCGGAAAAAGTCTAGTTTAGGGCCCTTCGCAGATCATTTGGAATCTTTTATCACAAAATTACAAAGGTATCCTTTTTTTCTTGCGGTAATTGGTATTTCTGGAGATATGTGCCTCCAAAGTTCTTTTGGGGTCCTTGTATTTTCTTATGATTTTTAAAAGCCCTGATTTCAAAAATAAAATATTCTTATCAAATAAGTTCACACATTCTGAGATATGGGTCTCCAAAGTTCCACAGTACCCTTCTGTAATTTTGAAAAACAGTATGAGTGTTTGGGTACAGATGGTAACTACGGCTACGCGACCGAATCTGCTTTTAATTAGAAATGTGTTTGAAAGTAGTTGGTTTTCGGCCGGGGAATTTAGACTTTCTCCTACGGAAAGGTGGTAGCTTCGGCTACGCAATCGCATCTCCTTTTAATTTGAATAGTGTTTTTGTAATCAGGACTTCAAACGCTTTAAATTTATGCCAATATTTCCTCAGTAAATTTTAAAAACCGTGATAAAATATAAGTGCCCAAACAAATCTTTTGAGGCCCATATCTCCGGAAATACCGATTTCCGGACATAAACTAGACTTAAGCCGAAATTGATATATGAATTACATATTGGTTGTCATTATCAATATCTCGAATGAGACTACCTTCCATAATTATCCCATGGATATCACAAAAAATTGTTCTCGAAGTAAAAATTTGTAAATTCTTGCAGGTTCTGGAACAGACCATTTTATTATTAAGAGCAGACCCCAGCATTGAGCCTTTATGTAAACACCAATTTGACATGTTGCCAGTCAGCTTTATATTGAAACGTTACCCAATATTCATAACATTGGCAACTCTAACAACAGCTGATATTTGCAATAACAAAAAAAAAAAGAGAAAAACATAAATAAAACAACAAGTGGAACTGGATTAATTATTATTGTTGACACGGTCTTCGTTGTTGTAACATCGCCAGAAAGCCCAGTGGTAAGTAACACGGAATATACAATTAGAAATTTTTGAAAAGAAGATTTACGAAGTCAATTAATTGGCATACGACGATTTGACAAGCGAACACTTTCGCTTACTGATAAAATTTCGACAAGTGTTTTGTTTCTCTTGTTTTTTTATTTGCCGAACCATGGAAAATAGATAAGGTGCGGTTGAATGCACTAGGCAAGGAATATGGGTGGATGGAAAACTATTTATCGCCATTAAATAGTAGAACAATTAATGGCGGTTCTATGGCCAATTGTTGACTATTTGACAGAAATTAAAATGTACGACGACTGTACGATAATCTGCGGTTGAGTAGCTGAAAGAAAAACAAACTTGTTTTATGTGTCTTAAAGATAACAAAGCTGTTGTGCCTACTATTTTGCTATATATAGCTGTTGTACATATCTAAAGACTTTTATTACTGGACGACCTCTAATAGAATTTCTTTGTTTTCATTTTCCAGAATATCATCATGGCTACTTTCCAAATGAGCCCCCAAACTCATGCAGTGCCCATGGCATTGTTTCGAAAAAATCGTCAAAAAGTGTGTGAAGCATTAAAGTCGAATGTCGCTGTCGAAAAGGGATCCTTTGTCTTGTTGGAAGGCGGCAAGGATGTTAGTTTCAATGACACCGATACCAACTATCTGTTCCGCCAGGAATCCTATTTCCAATACTTTTTCGGTGTTAAAGAGCCAGACTGTTATGGTGTATTGAATGTTGATTCCGGCGAATCCATACTCTTTGTACCACGTTTGCCTGAGGAATATGCCACCTGGATGGGACGTCTTTTATCTTTGGACGAATTCAAATCAATGTATGAAGTTGATCGAGTCCTTTATGTCGACGAACTTCCAACATTCTTTGAAAAGGCATCACCTAAATTGATTTTGACACTCAGTGGTTTGAATACCGATAGTGGTCTGCGCTCAAAGCCAGCCACTTTCGAGGGCATTGAAAAGTATGTTGTCAATTGTGATTTGTTACATCCAGTTGTGGCTGAATGCCGTGTCATCAAAACTCCAGAAGAAATTGAAGTTCTACGCTACGTGGCCAAGGTTTCTTCAGATGCCCACATTAAGGTTATGCAGTTTATGCGTCCGGGACGTAGTGAATTTGAAGGTGAAGCAGTTTTCCTACATCATTCCTATGCTGTGGGTGGTTGCCGCCACACCTCCTACACTTGTATTTGTGGTAGTGGTACTAATTCGGCAATTTTGCATTATGGCCACGCTGCCGCTCCCAACGATAAGGCTGTCAAGGATGGTGATATGTGCCTCTTCGATATGGGTGCCAATTATTGTGGTTATGCTGCTGACATTACCTGCTCCTTCCCAGCCAATGGCAAATTCACCGAAGATCAAAAATTCATTTACAATGCTGTACTGGATGCCCGTAATGCTGTTTTAAAGGAAGCTCGCGAAGGTGTCTCCTGGGTTGATATGCATCGTTTGGCGTGCCGTGTTATGTTACAACGCCTCAAGGAAGGTGGTATGCTGCAGGGAGATGTTGATGAAATGTTAGCTGCCGGTTTGGCTGGTACTTTCCAACCTCATGGTTTGGGTCATCTAATTGGATTGGATGTTCATGATGTTGGTGGTTATTTGCCCGGTCAACCTGAACGTCCTTCCGAACCTTGGCTCAGCAAATTACGTTTTGCCCGTACCCTACAAGCAGGCATGTATGTTACCGTTGAACCCGGTTGCTACTTCATTGACATCCTTATGGACAAAGCCCTGGCCGATCCCAATCTAAATAAATTCATTGTCAAAGATGTTTTTGAACGTTTCCGTTCATTCGGTGGTGTTCGCATCGAGGATGATGTCTTGATCACAAAGACAGGCAATGAAAATTTTGCCATTGTTCCCAGAACTGTTGAAGAAATTGAAAAGTGTATGGCAGAACGTGAGGACTGAATAATGGAGTTGTAAATAACAACAACGTTTGGGGATAATATATACCATTGGCTTTGATATATGATTGTGTTGTGTTATAAGCTGATTTGTTTTGTTTATTGTATTTTTTGTTTGATTTTTGATCTGCTGTATCGATAAACAATTGATTTGTATTGTATTGATAAGATTATTAATATGAATTTCGTATTCCGCCATGTTATCTAATAAATAAAATCGTGTATATATTTATTTTCTAAAAAGTGATTAGATTGTAATGGGGCTTTTCTGTGATACGTAATCGATGTTAGTAACTAGGGTAAACGGTAATCTGCTAAATTGAGTGACTCTAACACTTGGATACAATACGAGTTGGCAGAAATTCTTTTGATTGCGAATAAAATCGAAGAATAGATCTAAACAGTGTATGGAAACCTTTTCAACAGACTATTATTATCTATACTAATGAGGAGTAAAGAGATTGACTGACTGATTCTGACTATTCGCTCTTGGTCCAAATGTGACAGATAAGGCTGGGTTTTTGGAAATTCGTACTAAAACGGTACGAAAGGTACTAAATGTGATACCATTTGTATTTGGCGAACCGGTAGAGCTAGAACTCTGAAATTTGGATTGGTGGTCGCTGATGGAGTGTAGGAAAGGTGTAGCAAAGGGTTTTTGGAAATTCGAACTATAATTATCCGAAAAGTACTAAAATGTACTTAATTTGGTACAAATTCGTAGCATGTGAATGGATATAGCTAAAAACTTGAAATATGGAATGAGAATTAGGGTTGAGATGTAGAGTCTATTTAAGGAGATGGTTTTGAAAGCATGTACTTATGTGTACGAAAAGTACTATATTTGGTACAAATTTAATCTATACTAATAAAAGAGTAAAATGATTGACTGACTGATTTAACGATTCATCAACGCCCAGACGAAACGGCTAAAGCTAGAATCTTGAAATTTGGATAGGGTCAGGATTCAGTTTAACAAATTAATACTTATGGGTACTAAATTTGGTACAATTTTATCTTAGGTGAACCAATAGAGCTCATGAAAAAAATTGGTACAATTTAAATTGTAGGTGAAGCGATAGAGTTGAAATCATGAAATTTTGATTTAGAGTTACTGTGGAAGTGTAGGATTGGGGTATGTAGGAAGTTTTGGAAATTGGTACTATTGTGTACTAAATTTTGTCCAATTTGAATTGTGGGTGAACCGATAGTGTTGGAGTTCTGAAACTTGGATTTTGGATCACTGTGGGGGTGTTGGTTTGGGGTAAGAAAAAGGTTCTGGAAATTCGTACTACTTTGTACTAAATTTGGTACAATTTAAATTGTGGGTGAACCACTATATTTGGAATCCTGAAATTTGAATTTGAAATCATTGAGGGGGTGTAGGATCGGGATATGCATGAAGTTTTGTTGGATGGTTGAACAGGGTACTTATGGAAATAATGTGCGTTAAAAGCAAAATTTGGATTTGGGTGAACCATCAGAGCTCGAATCATGAAATTTGGTACTAAATGGTACTCAAATTTAATTTATGATCGATATTAATGTGTGAACTGGTTTTTCTCACATACACAGTTTGCTGCGAAAATAAAAAAATATGTTAATACATGTTTAATTATTTCCTACATTCGCTAACGAAGTTGCGGGCATGTGCTAGTTTTGACTATTTCTAGATTAAATAAATATTTTGATCATACTACAATTTTTAAAGTATCTATGAATAAGAAATTTGCTCACAGTTTTTAAATAATAATGTTCGTTAACATCATCGAATATTTTTGCTCATATCGTCGATAATATTAGGTTTAAAAGGCAGATATATGCAGAAACTTCGTTACCTTCAGTGGGGTTTATTGTTTTTACAAAGACAAATACCAAATCAACAATCACTTGATTCACCCCCATAATAAAAATTTTTGGATCTGTGAGACCTAATTTCCTCTTCCAGGAATAATGAATTTGAATTCCCGTTTCTCAATTCCATTATTCCCAAATTTTGCATCAAAATTGTTACTGGGGTTTAACACAAAAAATATTCTATATACAGTATAGCATATTTTTAGGCGTTGGTAAATTCTAATCAGAAGATGTAAACAACAATGAATAGTTGTGGGTGTCGTAATGTGTTTTATGGAAATGCCCTTGTAAGACATTTTGAGGGTTTGAGTAGAATCTTTACGGGGTACGATGTGCAGTTTTAGTAAAAATTAAAGAACGGAGTATCCACTTTGATCCAAACTTCGAACTGTTGAATTCAACTCAAAGTTATTACTTGTTTTAATATCAAATTTAACGTAAAAAGCTAATTGTGAATTCTGTCTGGTCCGAATTGCTCGACGTCACGAAGGAAAATTAATTGTCTAAAATAGGATACAAATGTCAGAATAAACGTAACCGACTGATACTTCCTGCTTCTACAAATACAAGAAGCGTTACTTAACTGTTATTTACAGAGAGTTTTGGAATAATCCAACCTAGTTCCCTCCATCCACCACTTAAAAACACAAACATTATTCTCAAAAACATCTTTTATTTTATTTTTATTTGTACTCCAACTTCGAAATACATGCATAAACATTTTCAATGCTAAATATATTTATATTTGAAAAGAAAAAAAATAATTATTTAGAAAAATTTGAAATTGATTTAATACAAAAAAAAAATTAAAGAACACACATTACAATCCAATTTTCGATGGAGTTCGTCTAGGTGTGGCATGGCCTGGTGTTGCTATCTCCTGTTTATTTGCCAATTGTTCCTCACGTTGAGCTGCCTTCAGTTTCCGTTCTTCCATTTCCTCTTGAGCCAAACGCATTTGTGTCTCCATCTCTTTAAGATGTTCAGCAGCTTGTTTTTTCTTTTCGCGACCACTGCGACCAGTTTCCTTCACAGAGAAGAACATAGGACCCAATTCGGCTAACCAATAGCCATCCACAGCAGTGGCACATTGCATATATTCCTTGGCTGTCATAACCAATTCATGATAGACCACATAATCGGGTGTGGTACCCAAACCATAAAGAGCCGAGGTAGGATGTAGATGACATGGCATACCGGTACGTAGATTTACATATTCACCAATACCCTTAAGGCGTGCCGCTTGATAAAAATATGCCGAACAGATACATTTACGGATTATATCCCAGTCGGTGCCACACGATTTCACTGAGAGTTTTTGTTGTATCATAATATCCTTAAGCTGTTGGCGGACTTCGCGTACCTTACGCATTGCCTTGATGTGTATGAAGTGTTCATTGCACCAATTAGAGCTGTAGCTGTAAGTAAAAGGAATAAATGTTAGTGGGAATATTAGGTAGGGTATTCGATAGGGTTTACTTACTTATTAAGCTTCCATTGCAAATACACATTGAGGTATGTCAAATGATCGGATTCGGGAACTTGAAACTTTTCACGAACACCATCAGCTTCTTCCTCACGGCCCTTGGGACGATAAAATATTGAGGGCACCGATAACATGGAAACTAGAAAGAAAATCATTTGGAGAATTTGTTAATGATCACAATACAATCGAAATCTTTTTTTAGTTTAATAAAAGGCCCTCAAGATTTGTAGATTCTTTTTAATGTTGGCCATAATATATTTTGAACTCTTCCACGACTAACAAAAACTCTAACAAGGTTGCTTTTGATGCCCCATTCCTCTTGAATGTTTCAACAGATCACGGACAGAAGATCCACGATGTAAAATGTCTCCTAGGTTTGTCACACGGGATTTCCTTCTGAACAATGTAGACTAACTTGATGAGTATCCCAACAGTTTCCTGGGATGACCATTGTCCCCCGATGTTGGATAATCCGACATGATGTGCCGGCCACAGCGATGTGAGTCTTAGGGTTTTCATTGTAATGTCAGTTACCAGATTTCTAAAGATCGTCTATAATATAATAATAGTGTTGCACTATCACTCCTATAGACAGAATATCTCATACTAGAGATTTTTTTAAAAACCAATACCGACCATAATTAAAATGTTAGTACCATTCCAAATATAGTACTCCTTATTGTACGTATTTCCAAAACTATCTCCATATCTTAACAGTACACACCAATTCTGACTGCAACAGAAATCTAGCTCTATACTAAATAGGGTATCATTTATTACCCTTTGTACTTTTGTAATAATAATTTGAAAAAAAAAAATTAAATATAGGTTCACCCCTATCCAAATTTAGTACCAATTAGTATACATTAATATAAATGTCCATAACTACATACCCTCACAATCATAAGTACGAGTTTCCAAATTCTCAATTCCAAATTTCAGGATTCTAGACCCATCGGTTTACCCTAAATTCAAATTGTACGAAATTTATTACCATTTAGTACACATAATTACGAATACACAAAACTTCTTACATACCTCAATTCTACACTCCAACAGTAATTTAATTTCAAATTTTTACTATTCCAGCTCTAAGTCCAAATTGTATGAAATTTAGTACCATTTAGTAACCATAAGTACTAATTTCCAAAACTACATCTATATCCCAAATCCTATACTCCAACAATAATCTTATTTGCAAAATTCAGTGTTCCATTTAAATCGAAATTGTACCAAATTTAGTACCATTTAGTACACATTAGTAGAAATTTCTTCTTGCGTACCCTAATCCTACACACTATCAGTGATCCTAACCAGCTCTATTGGTTCACCAAAAAATAAAAATTGTACCAAATTTAGTACACACAAGTATAAATTTTATTTCAAAATTTCAGTGTTCCAGCTCTGTCGGTTCACCCAAATCCAAATTGTACCAAATATAGTACCATTTAGTACCATTCGTACACATAAGTACTAATTTCCAAAACAACCTGCAATCGCTATATCAGGATCCGTTTCTTCAAATTCAAATTGTACCAAATTTAGTACGGTTTAGTACTTTTCGTATACATGACTACACACTTTTCAAACCACCTCCTAATATCGACCCTACTTCTCAAGCTTGATTCGCTTTCCAAATTTCATTTTTTAGCTCTATCCGTTCACATGCTACGAAATTGTAACAAATTCAGTACATTTTAGTACTTTTCGGGTACTTGTAGTTCGAATTTTCAAAAACCAAAAACCTTTGCTACATCTATCCTACACTATACCATGCGAAACGACTGAAGCTAGAATCTTGAAATTCGCCGGGAGGGTCACTCTTGGTCCAAGAGGCTGGGTTTTTGAAAATTCGTAATAGAATGGAACGGGAAGTACTAAATATGGTATCATTTGTATGTGGCGAACCGTTAGGACTAGAACTCTGAAATTTGGATTAAGGGTCATCCTACACTATATCAATACAAATTTCAGAGTTCTAGTGCTAACGGTTCGCACATACAAATGATACCATATTTAGTACTTCTTCCCGTTCCGTTCTATTAGAAATTTTCAAAAACCCAGCCTTATCTGACACCTTTGGACCAAGAGTGACCCTCACGGCGAATTTCAAGATTCTAGCTTCAATCGTTTCGCATGGGCGTTGATGAATCCTTAAGTCAGTCAGTCAATCACTTTACTCTTTTATTAGTATCGATAAATATAACCCTTTATATATACCTCTAATATTCAAAAGTTACATTTCTCACTTACCGATTATCAAAACTTCAGCACTACATTCCATCTGACAGGATACAATCAACATTTGACACTGTGGCGGATCCAAGGGAAATTCAGCCATTTGTCGACCCAACGGTGTCAACGCCCCTGTATGATCTAAGGCACCCAATATCCAAAGTTGATACAACGAATTCAGAATATTATCCTGTGGTGGTGGATCCATAAAATGAAATTGCAACAAATCGACCACACCCAATGATTTCAACAACAACACAGTGTTGGCCAAATTTGTTCGTTGTATTTCAGGTACGGTTAGAGGCAATAATTCGTCTTTGTATTGTCGTTGGGTATATAAACGATAGGCTTGACCCGGTCCAGTACGTCCAGCACGGCCGGAACGTTGATTAGCATTAGCCTGAGATATGGGATAGATTTGTAGAGCGTCCATACCAATGCGTGGATTATAGACTTTTAATTTACAAAATCCCGAATCGATGACATAGATAATACCATCCACTGTTAAGGAGGTTTCAGCGATATTTGTGGCCACAACACATTTGCGTATACCCTCGGCAGAACGTTGAAATATTTTCGCTTGTAAATCGGATGGTAATTGCGAATAGATGGGCAATATCGATAACTCTGGGGCGTTATCTATTTCCGTTAAACGTTCAGCTAATACCTCACATGTAACCTCAATATCCTCCTGACCGGGCATAAAAATCAACATATCACCTTCATTGGGAGTTAAATGGATTTGTAGGGCTTGCTTCACAGCCGATTCGACATAATCCTCACAGGGATTTTTACTAAATAGTACATCAACAGGGAAGGTACGACCGGGGATGGTAAAGGTTGGCACATTACCAAAGAAGGTGGCAAATTTGGTGGCATCCATAGTGGCTGAGGTAACAATTAACTTCAAATCACGTCTTCGGGCAACAATCTGTAAATAAAAGCAGAGAGAAGGGGAGGGGAAAATTAATTTATTACAAGCTATTCGGGTGGTGTGCGTGACAAAAACAAGAAGAAGAAATGGCTAATTTTAATTAAATTCCTACAATGACAGTTCATTAGGTCAAGGAATTTCACATTATTCCATAAAACACAAGGACTCCATAGAAATCATAATTTCTCTTTACACTATTTATATTCTCTTAATACGATATTTCAAAAGAAATTCACCACACTGTTTTTTTCTCATCGGCCAATGTTAAGCAATCTTACTCTCACTCTCTTTGACAGTTTAACATAGGGGAAAAGTAAACAGAATGTTAATAATGCTATTGTTGTTTTCAGTTCGCTGATAAGTGTAAATGTGTACGTGCTGAATGGCACGTAGACATTTTATTGGTATTGGTCAGGGAGACTTATAATAAGAAGATGTTGTCGTTTTTTCTTTAGGGAAGAGATGTTTAAAATTATTTTCCGAAAAAAAAAGAAATGGAATGTATAAATTGAAATCATTTTATACTCTGAGTTAAGTTTATATGATAAATAGAAAATATCAAAGAACCTATACCCTCAAATCTGTTCCGATTTTCTATTATATTTTATTATTAAGCTGTTTACCTATATAAATTACAGACCTATAAAAGACTATTAATGAAAATATCAATATTTATCGTCAAAAATAGTGTACGTTTTTCAAAATATTCTCCAGCATATCCAATCCTTATATGGGGCCTACCCCGAAGCATAAGTCAATATTGATACATTTATGCGAGTTAGGGGACTATCCTAAAAAGTGGACCAAGATGTATAATTTTTATTAGAAAAATTTGTTCAATGAGAATCCAAAATACCAAATTGCAGCCAATATGGTTGAAAAACGTGTCCAAAATACCGTGTTGTGGGGGGTACCTATATATGGGGGCTACATCAAACGGGGACCGATATATCCTATTTGCAATACCAAACATCCTAGGAGTACTAGCAATGTCTGTGCAATTTCCGAGCTTTATCTTAAATATTGCGATCTGTATCGTGATTTCAACAGACGGCCAGATATAGAATTTTATTCTGATCAAGAATATATATATATAATTTGGGGGGTTTCCGGTGAATATTTCGAGGTTTTGCAAACGGAATGACAAATTTAATATACACTTCACCGTATGGTGGAGGGTATAAAAACGAAAATGGGCTAATAGAACAAAAACCAAATTTTCTTATGTTCAGATTCCACACTATGTCAGCTCCCGGCCATACAAATGATATACGATGAGCATCTTTAACAATGATAATATAAACCAGACTGGATTTTTGATTTTGAATAATAAATGAATGCTTTTGATTCATTGTGAGAATTGAGTTCTGCAATCGACCTCCCACTCTCATTACTCCATATTCATCTATACACATGGTAAAGTGCGGTGATTCCTATTGAATTGCTTACTTTTTTAAATATTCCTTTCACTAAGTTGAACTAACAATTTCTCAACATTTTCTGTCGCATTTGCTCTTCCCGCGTTAAATATTTTGTAGGGTAAAACTTTTCCTTAAACTTCCAATAAACCGCAACACCAATTTGTACACTCTGTGCAATTTCTGATATGATGAGTATCCCTAAGCCAAATCATGAAAATATGTCGATTCTAACGTCAGGTTGGCAAGTGAAACAAAGATTTCTCTGGTCAAACCATCCATTCCATTTTTGCTTTGTTAACCACGAGATACCACAACACAATGCATTGTTTTATCTGGAGATAATGTTTTCGCTTTTTAGTCTTCTTTATACTATTGGCTCTCGTTCAGATAGACTTATATTTACTGTTGTTGTTTTCAGTCCACACCTTGGTCTCATTTTTGACTACTTTCATAATTTTTTTCGGCAACCGAGATATTAGAAAAATATCCACCTTACTTTTCAGTACAACTAATGACACTCCACTTGAAGTCTTGATATACACCACAGCTACACACGCCTTTTCAAATGGATCCGCAAATCCTAACAGATATACATCCACGACTACCGTAGTTTACAGTCATCTGTCAATTTCAGACCTTGCAACGCCGTTGGATTTCCACAATCTGGAATGTTATTTCCAAATCATTCCAGATTGAATCCGATTAAAACGTTTTTTCCACATTTATCAGATCTTGGCTCAGAAATTTATATATCTACGAAGGCAGTTCGGAAACTTCTTAGCCTATGAATAATTTCGCATGAAGAACTAGAGATGAAAAAGCTTTCTGTAAGATGGGTGCCGCATTTGTTAACAGTCGATCAAAAACGCATAACAATGAACATTTCTCAAGCTTATTTGGATCGTTTTAAGCCAAACAAACTGGATTTTAAGTTTCGTTTCGTAACTGTGGATGAGACATGGTTCCACCACTATATTCCAGATACAAAAGAACAGCCCAAACCATGGACTAAAGCTGAAGGAAGTGCCCAAATGAAGGGAAAAACAATTTAATTATTATTTTATTAATTGAATATCTGCAAATGGGTAAAACTATAAATTCAGAGTACTATTGCGACCTTTTGGATCAATTAAATGTACAAATTCGATAAAAAACGTACTGGCTTACATCACAAAATGAAAAAAAAAAATTCATCAAGACAACGCACCAGTGCTCAAGAGTGCTTAACAATGGCTAAAATCAACGAATTAAAGTACGAGTTGCTTGACCACCCACCTTATTCTCCGGATTTAGCTCCCAGTGATTTTTACTTGTTCCCAATTACAGTTGTAAATCACTATTTTGAAGACCTTGAGGAAAACTATTTTAATAAAGGGATAGATTTTCTAGAAAAGCGTTGGACTAAGTGTATTGCAGATTATATTGAAAAATTAAAATATTTTTGAAAAACTAACTATTCTCATTCATTGATAAGCTAAGAAGTTTCCGAGCCGGGATATAGTTAGATTTTAAGCAGATACGTATTCCACACAATTAGCAATATTATTTTCTTATAAATGATATGCATATAAGTTTAATCGGTATAAACCCAGTTAAAAATTAGGTATACAGATCTGCCTCTGTTAGGGAATAAGTGCTATTAACAATAAGATCTATGTATTGCAAACATTTCAGACGAATAAGGCAGTTCTTCTACCAAATTATTATTTCCCATCTAAAATCTTTTGAGGGACATTTTAACAGAATATTTGGAATTAAAAGGAAATCCGTCTTGGGGTATTCAGTTTACGGTTCAGCAAAAAGAATGAAACGACGCACAAGGACTCGAGATAGAAGGACACATTTTCTTCATAAATTGTGGGTTCACCGACAACAATTAAACACACCATATCTCAAACACTTACTTATGGCGAATTTGTCCTTCTGGGTTCCTAATATGTTCATCAAGACTAGGTAGTGACGGGCTATTTGGGATACCATTTGTTATTGTATCTACATATATGATTTCTATGAATACATTCAACGGCTTTTTTTGCATTTCGAGGAGCTTCTGCAAACTAAACCCATTATTTTTATATAACCTATCGAATTTTGTAGCGACCATAAATATTTATTTATATCTTATTACTAAACTTTACAGCATTTAATCTAAAATTTATTTTGCTAAACTATTATTTTAAATATACATCAATTCTTTAGTATAAACAGCTGATTAAAATTATGCTGTCCCACGCTCTTCATTTAATTGTTTTAACATATTTAATAGTATTTCTCATTTTATTTAAATACAAATAATTATTTCCCATATGGAACAGTAAAAAAAAATATGGATAACCCAATAATTTTCTTGATTACCACATTTTACACTCCAATACATCTTGTTATTATAAGTCTCCTTATCTCTACGATACAACTGTCAACACCAAAATGTTTCACATTGTGTTTATTGTTGTTGTTGCTGTTGTTGTAGTTACATGAATTTACTTATTTTCAATGACAATGATACAATAAAATGCCATGTCAAAATTTTATTAGTTTTTTTCCTTTCTTTCCTAAGAACAAAACAAAAAGAACTGAAAATAAAAACACAGAAAAATTTCCATATTTCAGTGTCATGATCGGGGTTAATGTTTTACTTCTGGTTCGAACCGGAGCAATCAAATGAAAATAAATAAAATAATAAAATAAATAAATTACAAAATCACGTTTTGAAGAAGACTCACATAGAGATTTGTTGTTTGTGTGTTTTAGAATTTCTGAAATGTGATGTTTTTGTTATTTGTTTAATTGTTTTTGTGGTTTAGTTTGGTTTTTCTTAGTTAGGGCAGGTTGTGGAATTTCGTACTGTACGACTTTAGTTATAATAGGGTGATAATGAGATTCCTCTTGGTGTAATTCTATTGCAGAGGGCTCAATATTATTGAGAATGCTGATTTAGATTTGAAATACCTAAATAGTAGAAATTAGAATATTAAATAAGAAAATTAGAATATTAAATAAAATAAAAATCTGACCTAGTCTGTTAAAAAGACATGACAAGACAACGACCAATTGGCATATATAGAGCCAATTGATCGTTGATAAAGACACTATACGGACCATGCAGACCAGTTGGTATGTTATAAAGACCTCTGAGTCTCTATACTGACCAGTGGGTCTGTTATAATGACCTTTGGGTCTCTATACAGACCAATTGGTATGTTTTAAAGACACGCTGGTCTATATACAGTGGTGGTCACGCAATTAAAACATTTATTGTGGTAAACCTTTTTTGATCAGCCCTCGATTCGTTTGAAGTATTTTTGAAATTTTTTTAATTCAGAACACTTCGATATACTGCACTTAAGAGATTTAGTGTGAAAATAGAAAATTATTGCATTTTTCCATAAATAACGGTTTTTATGAAAATACATCGAGTTTGAAGTGGCCACATAATTAAAACATTGTGTGATTTTTTTACTTTACTGCATTTTTTTTGAAAACATTTTTAAAAAATCACTTAAATTTAGGTAAGTTATGCAAATTAAGCATCGATAAAATCATTTATAAAAAAAATTTTTGAAAAAATCTGTAAAA